TTTATATTAAATTTAATAGGTGGGGTATACCCCACCATTATTTTTAATAGTGTTCTGAACCTCATGCGATTCTGTTCAATTCTATTTGATTCCAATTTTCGGAACCATATATATATAGAAGTTGCATCTTGCTTGATTTTAAAAATTTTAAATTTGATAATCAATATTAATTAAAATCTTTAAAATGTTTACTAGAAAATTTAGAAACTATGTTTTAATTAGTTTTTTAATATCTAAATTTGATAGTTTGTACTAAGTAAATAACTATTTTGAAATAATTATTAGAAGATATATATCAATTTTAGATTTTTATTTTGTTTATAATCATATGTAAAAAAGGAATTTATAATATTGAATTTTTTTGTTAATTTTTCAATTATTTTTTTTAAAAATAATACATAATCTAATATGCCATTATCTTTATTTGCATATAGTTTTAAAGTTTTACATATCATGTAGATAGTTTGATATAAGTGGTATATACATGTTATATCTTTGTTAATATTTAACAAAAAGAAAAATGAGGTTTTTTAAAAAAAATTTTTTTAAAAAATTCAAATTAAAAAGCAAAATCAATTATTAAAAAATCCCAAGATTTTATAAAAAGAAAATTGATCCAATATTTTTTAAAAATACAAAAAAAATTTTTACAAATATTATCTGATAGATTGAAATATAGAAATATATTAAGAAAAGATTAAATAAAAGAACTTCCAACCAGAATTAAACTTCACAAATGTTACGGATTTTTAGTTTTTTTTTTTTTGATATTTTCTATTTTTACATAATGTATTGTAATTTTTTAATAAATTATAAAAACAACAATTTTATTTTTATGGAATTTAATGTTGTAATCTAAATGAAGAATTGTTAAGCATGAAAAGTGTAATAATAGTTACATATTGCATCACGAGTAGTTTCATTACGACATTTACGTAATCAAATAATTAAAATATACAATGCGCATTTGAATTTTGGTTTTTTTCGAAATTTAAATAAATACAGTAAAATCTATCTGGACAACATTGGTCCCAGTCTGAACAAGTGGCGTCATTTGTACTGGGTGAATATTTTATGATATTCGCCTAAGCCTTTGCATTTTCTACGTTGATGATTTTTGCGTATAATAATTATGCTTCGTGCTAACCTAACTATTCTCTGAATTCATCAGAGTTTCGGCGATGGCATTAATCTCCATCCATTCATCTCTAGTAAAATAAAGTGATTATGTAACATGAGGAATTCTTCTATCTGATTCAGTTCCCCGGGAATTATAATCTCTTCATTTAATCCCAAATCAATCTTTTGTCTCTCTAATTATGTTCTCCTTAATAATATTAATGGCATGCGTAAATTTTAGTTGCATCTAACGCTTTTACAAAGTCCAACAACTTTCTACAGTTTGATTTGGCAAACCGTAAATTAACGAGACTCAAACATGATTCCTCGCCTTGTCAATTCTTTTGCAACATTGATAATTCGTTTTGAATTATCAATCGATTTATCACCAGGTGTTCCGCACGAATAATGGTTTTGGGCACCGAATTCTAATGTTACGACATTCTTTGAAAATTCGCATCTTTCAAGGAAGTCCTTATTAATCATTTCAAATCTTGTAAGGAAATTTGCCCCCAAACGAGGTTTCAATAAATTATCGAGTACAGATAAATAACTTCTTCCAGAATTAAATGTCGGATCTAGGATCGCGATGTCATTAACCATCGAAGTTTCATTAGATCCCATCTGTTTCTGATTATCCGAAGCATCACGATGGGCACAAAAAGAACAACGAAATTGACATCCACGTTAATTTTTCTACCTTGTAAACTGTTATGTTGAAACATTTGTGATTGGTGGTGAAGTTTGAAATGGAGACGCAGAAAAATCAAGATCCACAAGCGCTTCTGTCGCACGGTCTGGAGTACTTGCAATGTGCAATCCTTGAATCATATTTAGCGTTGATAGCTGATTCTTTTGCTTAAATATTACATTGAATGAGATCAACCATTGCATTTTCTGCATACCTACGAATAAAATAGTATCTTGTGAAGAATATTGTTCTAAGATTCCTTTAGGTGCATAGCTAATTTGTGGACCGTCGAAAAATATTAACTCTTTATATTTATGCTTATTGCGTAAGAGATTTGATATACGTCGAGTGTGCATTTTATTCTAAATAAATACACCGAATCCAATTAAATCAAGAGAATTTATTAGAATTTGTTGGGTTATTGTCGTGCATAATTTATCGAAATAAAGCATATTTTACAAGAGGTTTACTGTGTGGTCGTTTGCCATAGGTAGATGGTTTGAATGATCGAAATAACACTGGCTTGATGTACGCGTGCCCTGATGAAACAGGGGATCCTTTTTACGTATTTAATCGAGAGATACTAATAAATTTTGTATGTATGACTCGTGATAAAGAATGGATGTAAACTCCTTTATGGATTTGTTCATTTCTGTGTAGAAAACATTTTCCAGACAAAAGATAATCCATACGTCATTCATGGCGCATTTTTTGCTTTGTTTCTAAAAATGGTAATTTTTTATGTATAGAATTTCTTTAGTCAATCTCTGTACAACCAAATAACTTACTCTGTCCTATAAGAAACACAGTGGTGACAGTTTTACATACATGGTTTGATAATACATATAGTAGTAAGTAATAAAAAAAAAAAGAAACGAGTGCGGTATGATAGATAGTCACGAAGTTGGTCACGTGACAAATCACCGCGACTGGAAACCCTTTCTGGTAATAACGGTACACGGTTATTTATTAAAGGAAGAAGTGAAAATCAAGTGTAACAATTTTCTCCTACTAGGCTATGAGTTCCACGAATTAATCTTATGTTAAGGAGATATAATCAGAGTGTAACAGGTGATAGATTAGGCGTAGGGTGGTGGATCGGATTCTGTAGATCTGACTGATTCCTACTTTCTCAAAAATAGTATATGTGCGAATGGCAACCTTGGAATAGTATTCTGTGAGATGTGATTTCAAGTATGTACATTGTTTTCTGTGAGAGATATTCTCTATTAGTTCTCCTAAATAATAAGCATATACAAGTGTGAGAATTTTGTTTCTTCTTCATGATGCTTTCTGTAGCTTCTAATAGGTGTTCAAAAGTTGTATTTTGGTAGTCTGCAAAAGATCATAAGGAGTTGGTGTGACATCTACATCTTCAGAAGTGTTTTGCAAAAGATCTTCGACTAAAGTAGTATAGACAGCCATGGGAACTATTAGTTGTATGTTGGAAATGTTCAAATTTGAAAAAGGAGCATGTTATTTGGGGCAGCTGTCCTTTTTATAGATTTTCGTGAGTATTTTTGAGGTTCCACCATATTGTGTACTTAAGGTCCTCTTGAAAATTGTTTTGCAGATAATTATCAATTTATAATTTTTCTGAAAAATGCCAAGAGAAAATCGCTTGTCAAGAAATGCTCACCTAACTCACTCTGGTCTCAGAGATCCATCCTGGGAGACAATTGTTTTGTTTCAAAAAAGGGTCAAGGTTTTGGAGCACCAAATTCATCAAGGAAATAGGTTCAGGGCTTTGGAACCAGAAGTGAAAAGATTAAGAAGAGAATTGGAAATACTTTAGGATGCATGCTCCCTTCACAACCTCAATAGGGAGTTAGGGTTGGAAAACTTGAACTTGAGAAACAGAGTATCTCGCCTGGAGGGTCTTCTTCGCCTGCTGGGAAATGCTGCACCTGCTCCCTTCGGCAAATCTTTTTCTTCTTTCTCATTTACCAGAGGTTTGCTTCTTATTTCATTTTTCTTGCATCTTTTTCTTCAAAGTTTATGAATTCATTATGGGAGATGCAATAGTCACTGAATATGCTTTATGGGCTGGCTGTAATGGACAGGGAGCGCTCTGTAGGCCACTTCCATTACACTGCATCTTTTGCTTGTTTCTTTAGTTTCTTCGGGTCTTCTTTTTTATTCAAGGGTTCAGTGACACTTGTGCTAGATTTGGTACAAGTGAAGGACTGGGCATCTGCGTCCACGTCATGTAACCTGGGTACTGAACTCTTCAGTAGTTAAAGAATGCTTCTTCCTATATATGTATACTAGGTTCCCATGCTGATCAATCAAAATATGATTTCAAGAGAAAAAGATTGATAAGAGCGGCAAGAACTTTTCCTTCCACCATTCTAAGCTTGAAGACATCATTGGACAAGACATTATGGATGTAGAAGTGTCTTTTCCATTTTGGTTTTAGTTTTCCTGTGAAATGTTTGTCTCTGGCAGCATCATACATTAATACCTTATCTCCGATTTTGAATTTCTTGTACTTTGTTACTTTTTGGTCAAATCTTCATTTTTGTCTCTGTTGTTCCTTGTGAATATTTCTTCTTGCTTGTTCTTGTTGTTGTGGAAATTCTTCTAATAAAGTATATAATCAGTCAAGAATTGTTGGTT